GTCAGCCTCAACTCTTAGTAACACTGTAAGACAAAGCAGAGCTGTTCTTGGGTTTTCTACGCTATAAATCTTTACAGAAGCAGACAGCTTCATCTTTCTCTCGGGGAGGAAGATGGTGGGTTTAAACTGCCAACCCTGTAGCCAGCAGTTACTTCATCACTTAACCAATTATGCCACCATGGCTCCTTCTCATCTAGGCAATGGGGCTAAGCCCTTCTTCCTGGCCAGCTGATGGCAGAGATTCAATGCAATGAGCCCCAAGGTGAAATGACCTAGTGGCCTGCCCATCTTATTGAATGCAGGGAGCAGAGTAGCTTTTCTTCTTGAAAGAGTCTTGGGTCAAGGCCAGATGCTCTGTTTGAGGGGTTCCCAAGCTCAACAAGCCTGGGACCTGATCAAGTGGACCAGGCTTGATCACGCAGACCAGGCTTCGACACTCTTCTACATCCTTAGAAAAGAGGAATCTCCTCTCCCATCCCAGGAGAAAAACACAAGGGGAATTCTTAGCTTCGCTCTGTGCTTTCTCTCGCTCCTCCCCAGAGGGGGAGTCCTTCCCAGGGGAGTTTGGGAGGAGGAACTGAGCATGCTCACTCATTCCTTCTGGCTTTCACTTCCTGGCTTCTTGTGGTTAGGTGCTGTGAAGTGCTCTGACTCACAGTAGTCCTGTGTGACAGCACAAAACACTGCTCCTTCAGGGTCGGCCTCTTTCTTGCTGACCCTGCACTTTGCCAAGGAGTCTTTGTAGCACTGTCAGGTAAGCACTGGATTGCTAACCACAGGTTGGTGGTTCAAACCCACCATCAGCTGCTCTGGATAAAGATGAGGTTATCTTTCCTTGGTAACAATTTATAACCGCGAAGGTCCTCGGTGGGATGACAATGAGCTGGAATTTACTTGATGGTAGTGAGTTTGGGTAGGTCGACTCTCCTAGCTTCTGGAAAGCTATTGCTTATGCTTATGGCCCAAGGCAGACTGCAATGGTCCACTGCCAGAGTGGAGTGAAATTTTCACAAGCCCGTTTGTCCTCAGGTCAAGCAATATTCTTCTTCCAACTCTATCAATAACAGGCTGGCATTTTTATCTCCACTTGACTCTCTCTCCTGGGTCTCATTTCTCCATTGATTCTGAATTTGGTAGGGGTGGGGGTGGGGTGAGATGGGGAAGAGGTGTTCACTAAAATGTCTCTAAATCCGAACTTCTTCCAACATAGAAAGGGGGCATTCTGAAGTTACTTGGGACAGCTTGAACTCTTCACAGAAACCAAACATGGGGAAGATGGAGAGACCGACTATAATTTCATTTATTTGGCTCTTGTCTGGAACCTTGTCAACATGAAAGGCACCCGACTTCTCTGGCTTTAGAACAGCAATGGATTGTCAGGG